GATCACACAGATGAAGCATTTGAAACAGTATCTGGTGTATCTAGATACTCAATAAATGTTGGTAACCATGGAGAATATGAATTTTAAAGCAATTTATATCATTGAACTTATTTTTTTTTTTGCTACTATTAGTTTTCATTTTGCTCACTTTTCCAGGATTGATTTTTGAAAAAACAACCATGGTGGCAGGGTAGAGAAAGACAAGACAAACAAGAACTTTCTAAGCTGAGTAGCCTTGGGTAATAATACTACTCACCGAAATGTATTGACTGCCTGCTGTGTGTTATGCAGTCTGCTAAGAGCTAGGTTTGCATAATCTCATTTAATTTTCACAGCATCATAATAAGAGAAGTGCTATATTATAATCCTTATTTTACAGAAAATGGAGATAAAATAGTTAAAATGACACTTAAAGGTCACACCCTGGCTAATTCCTGAACCAGATTTTGAGATCTCTTTGATACCAGATTTTTCATGAAATTGCCCTACTAAGTAAGTTATTTAATAATCTTGAGCCTCATTTTACTCATCTGTACCATGGAAAGGAAAAATACCTTCCTTATACGTTCTTGGGAGAACTTAATGCATAACACGTGAAGGGACTAGTATAGTGTCTGATACATATTAATATTAATTATAGTAATGATAGAAATTATTATTATCTTTTTTTAGAACATCTTTAAATATAAATTAGAGTATTCATTTGGAAATGACTTTGGGGAGGAATGAAGTGAAAACTCTTGCAGAAGTTCTAATCTATTGCTAAGCAACTAGCTGGCCTCTACTGTACTGGAAAGGCAGAATCTTTCTCTTCTATGGACTTTGAATTTTATATAACTGTAATCTTAGCCCTTTATGAAGACTCAATTCAGACTTGTAATTTTCTATTATTCTTAATTCTATTTGTACTGGTATAAACTGTAGTGTATGATATGAAACAGGGAATTAGTCTGAGGCATAAACTGTCCTGTGGTAGAGCGGTTCCATATTGCATTGCAGTTATCTGTTTTTTCTGACTGTTCCCCAATAGATTTCAGATTTTCAAGAGTATTAGTTATATTTTGGTCTTCCATTTGTCTCCAGAGTCTTTTAAGTGCTCAGCTCATAGTAGGTGTTTAATAAATGAGCTATACATGAAGGAAGAAATAATGGAACAAATGAAAGGCAAAACAGTCCTAACACAGACATTATATTTTGGGGAACATTTATTTTCACTAAAATTATTAATAGATACTGCATATACTAGATAAAAATCAGTTATTCAACTGATTGGAGGTTAACACTTCACATAACTGATACCATGAAATAGCAACAATAAAAATTCTCTTTTTGTTCATGATAAAAATACTCCCATATCACTCTCCTGTCTTCTAACAAGGAGGAGGGATATAGACCTATTTCATGTGACTAATGGAGCCCTTTCTAAAAGAGAGACAGGGAGGCTCAAAATTTCTGTGCCTCTCCTACTGGGGTACAACATGAGCACATCATAACGTAGACTCCAAGTGCTCCAATGGCATGTTCCTGCTGAAACAGGAAATAACAACATTCATGATCGAGGTTTCAGTCATTCCTGAGGGTGGACCATCTTGGTATGAACTCACACGGTAACAGGGTTTAGAGAATTTCCGATTCTTAGAGCACTTCCCTGTTTAGGACTCTCTTTCACTTCTCCTGCAATCAGGAGGATTCTGTTCTGAAACACACTTAGACTGTCCATGGGAAAATATGGAAAGATGACCCGTTATACTATATTCAGACAGAAAGGGAAGAAAAACCTGTTCACATAAAGGGAAAACAGCAACATACTATTTCAGGAAGCTAGTGAGTTTTGGGTACATATTAATATAATGTTCTCTTTCCTTTCCCAATGTGGGGGTAGAGGGAGGAGGGCAGAAGTGAGGGAGCATCTGTCTAAGGCCCCACAGATCAGAAAATAGTGCTCTGCTCTGCTACAATGACAAGCATTTTAGAACTCCTTCTCTCCCCACAAGGCAACTTGGCTCTGGGATAATCACCCCAGATATGAATTCATAGAGTCCTGCCCATTCTATAGTTCCACATAGAAAACATAGGCAAATGAGATGCAGAGCAACACTCTTGATTTTCTGTGGTTGCTTGAGCTCCCCTTAGCTCTCCCTGGGACTGGTGGTTCAGTAAAGGCCACAGAACCAGTCCAGATGTTTGCAGAGTAAATGTGATGCTTGACTATGACTCAGAGAAGCAATGAGGGGAAGAGTAGGGGGTTTTAAGAAAGAAGGCCTTATCAGTTGATACTAAAAGTAGCTATAAAAGTCTCATATACATAGTTATCCTTTTCCCAACCCTTTCATTCAATTCCAGAGTAATAAATTGTGATTAACCACTCCAACCCCTTACTTAGAAACTGTTTCCATCACAGTTGTCTCCTCTCTGATAACTTTCTCTTAAAGTTCATTTTGAATTCATTTCTCCTAGATAAATGTCATTAGGTGTATGTGTGTGAGTGGGTATATTTATGTAAACAAATATGAAGTTGGAAAGAAAGATACAAAGGCTTTGTAAATTTGGCCTGTCTTTTTGTATGTCTCCAGGCCTTTTTTCCTCTCTAAGGGACTAAGGGAAAGCTTTCTTAGAAGAAGAATTATTTTCTCTCTTTCTCTCTCTGTCTCTGTCTCTGTCTCTGTCTCTCTCTCTCAGTTTTTATTTAGTGCTAAAAGAATGAGAAGGAAGAGAAATTAGGAAGGGAAGATCATTTGTTCCCAGTTAACCCTGCTTTTCTGTGGGGCTGAGGTGGTTACCCCAACAGAACTGTCTTTCCTATAGCATACACTGCTCCCCTCTGCCCCACCAGAACATATCAATGTAGTCTTGCCATTATGTTGGCTATATCCAAACAAGTGAGGAAACAAAAGCTAAATAATATCTTGCTGTTGTAAAGAAACTTGGACAGTTCCTGGAGTAGATATATTGAGTGGCTACTTCTATAGATCTCGACCTGACCCAAGGAAGCCTGGTCTGTTTGATCTGGTGTCCCCTTACGCTCTAATCTCCACCCTCTCTGCCCCTTTGCCCCATCGTTCTCAATCAAGACAGCCTTGAGAAAATCTAATTTCTGTGTTAATCAGATCTGAAAGTTCTAAGCATTGACTAAACACTCCTAAGAACATTGTATAATTGTATAATAGGTATAATTGAGACCTAATGGTTGCCAAAACCAGCTCCATGTCATCTCCCGGATGAATGGATTATTCCAAAATACCAGTTTATGGACTGGATAAATTGGAATTACCTAGAAAACTTGTTACATGACAGGTTCCTATTTATGTTGTCCAAGATTTTGCCTAAGTATGTTTGACAGTCAACCAAGTTTGTTAGATTTATGAACTCCAGAGTTCTAGACATCCAACCAGAAGTCTCTCTGGACAGAGCCCTCAAGCTCTCATATGATACAGTCTTTTCTATATTTTCCAGCTTACTCAGGTGCTGTTTGTCTAGTTTTCAAGGAAAGGAGTTATGCCACTTTGTTATATTTAAGTGGAAAGAAAACAGGAGTCCCAGGGGCAGGCTGTTGGATTTACTACCACAAAATGATCCTTTGAGGCTCATCTTGCAGACACAATGAGATCCACATAGAGCTGTATAAAGGGATTGTGGGCATAAGGCCATCAGATACACCAGTGTACACACATATGTACACACACTCTCATTGCCTTGTCTCTGGGAGCCATGGACGAAGTTGGCCAAGCTCTTGGCCAGGGCTGCTGTCACTGACGGTTCAGGCTGTATGCTGCACAGTTCCAGGCACCATTTTGACAGACCACAAGGTGAATGGCCTCCTAGCAGTTGTGCAGTGTGGATGTCCTTAGAAATAATTAGTCATTATTTTGAAAACAGGAAGGAGCCCACCACTGAGGAAGCAAATGCAATGTTTGGGGTTGAAATTTCAACAGGATTCAACAGGATTATCTTCCTGCTCTGCAGCTAGGTCTTAATCTCCGCTCTTAGCACATGCACACACATATGTACACACTCTGCTTCCTAGACTTCCCCTTTTCTCTAATACAGGGTGATTTGCAAGTTTCCCTTCCACATCTCTGTATTACAGATGGATTGGGAAATTCTACAACAAATTAGAAGTGGAGCGTTAGTTTATGGTGAGTGATTTCTCAACTCAAGGCCCCTCTAGTATTCTGGAACTGTTTAATGACAATCTTGAAGGTCTTTGTCTCCAGAGTTTTTTTCTTGAAACCAAATCCCATGCAATAAAGCACGTTCATTTCATGCAACACAGCTTAGTTGATGCCTATAGTTTCAAATACCCCCGTCACTGGATGCAATTCAATTGGGAATGCCTGGTATGAAGACACATGCACAGTGCAGCAACATGAAATGTTCATCACCAAACACAAGGAAGTAAAGGAGCTGCAAAGCTATGGTAGCTGGAGGAGGATTAGCTTTCCTGGTTTCAGTTTAAGAACAGCCTCTTGTTTCTACAGTCCACTGGTTTGATATGGCATCTGCCCTTGGCTGTGAGATCATGTTATATTCAAAGGAAGACAGATTAATTTCCAGGCTTGTCTGGGATCAGGGGCTGGAGTCTTTCCTCATTTGCAGTCCTTCTCTTAAAACTAGTCCTAAGTTTTTGCATCTGTTTTATTAAGTGATCAGGTAGCCATGGAATGTGAATTTCCTCCAATCTCTTCCACTTTGCAAACTCCAGAACTACTTAACAGTAAGTCAAAACCCAGGGGACAACTGACTGTGAGCTAAGGCTTCAGACATGCAAAGCGCACAACCCTGGGAAACAGCAGCATGTGGGACAGGAGGCTCCCATTACTTCACAGGAGGATGGCGTGGGTTTTGCAAATCACACACACACAGAAAACCAGCAGTGGCCCAGGTTGGATGCACTATATGAGACGCACAGTTGAGTGAGGACCCAGACCAGGGAGCCACCTGTTCCTCTAGCTTGCATACATTTATTTCACACCACCTCAGAACACTCACAGTTTGCTTACCTGCTCATTGTTGCTCTCCCACCATTCCCCATACTCCCTTTGGGGGTGAAACACTCTATTTCCGACTTGTGCTGGGCCAGTCTCCTGTCTTTGTACCTAGTGAGTATGAACAAAGACAGGAGCAAACAGAAAGACGTGATTGTGTGCTTAACTGCCAGGCTGAGGAAGGGCCGTGACTGCAGAGAGCGTCATCCTGTGCGGAAACAGGGGACCCTGCTTCTCCATGCAATGGCTGACCTGTGATATTTATTAGATGATTGTGATGGTATATGGACAACATTGGGGATGATTTTCTTGCTTCTTGGTCAAACCATATGTAACCCATGCTTTTACATTGCCTATTAATCTGTGACATTCATCATATTTAATAGTTAATGGTAAAGGAGCAATTCCTAGCTTCTCAGAAGAAGTTGAATATCAATCAATAAATTAGAATTTACTTAGTGCTTACCATGTGTCAGACACTGTACTAGACCTTTACCTAAATTTAATTCTGGCAATATCCCTGTGGCAGAGGCTCTGTTATTATTTCCATTTTACTAATGAAGAAACCTAAGATTGTAAGGATTAAGTAAATTGACCAAAGACACACAGTAAGTGATTGGGCTGGATTGTCAACACAGGGAGCCTAACTTTAGAACCAACACTTTAGTCGTTATAATGTGTTGCCTTCCATTATCAGAATTTTTAAGAAAAACTAATTATTATCATTAATGAACCTCCATTAAGTGTTACTATGTCTGAATATTATATTAGGTACTGACAATAATAGAAGAGAGAAGACATATTCCTTGGATGTGAAAAGTTTCTTTAACCATTAAGTTGAAGCTTGACAGTCAGTATTGGGTTGCCTATAGTTTACAGTGTGACTCAAACAGCTTTTGTATCTGAATTGACAGTTCACCATGCCTCGAAGGTACTAGATGTTCATCTAAAATAAGTTATGAGAGTCCCAACTTTAGTCTGCTACATGGTGCATCAAGATGAGTCATTATACTTCATTGATAGTTTTTTGAGCCAACATACTTTTATAGAAATACTCTCTTTTACTCATCAGTTTAACTCTGTGGGGTAGGTAAAGAAGCACTGTTATTTTCATTTGCCAAATGAGGAAACTGTGACTTACTTAACTGACTCCACTAACGTCACAAGTGTAGTCAGTAGAGGATAACTGCCAACAGAGCTTTCCGGGTCCCAAGACACTTACGGTTTTATTACTTTATTTACTTTTCCCTGATAAAATTAGAGCGTGAAACGGTACTACTTCATCCATGTTCCTGGTATTCAATAGACAATGATAAAATGAGTTACTATCATAAGACTTGTTTGCTTCAAAAGAGTCACATTCTTTTTAGTTTCTTTTCCTACCGTTTGAAAAGAAATATAAAATAAAACAAAATGCAACAAAGTCAAGATCATTATTGGTCCTCGGGGAGAGGTTTTCCTCTTAATTTTGTTTCTCTTCTAAAATGTTATTACATGAAAATATTTAGTATTTGTATAAAAATGGCTCATTACATCAAGCTAAATGGATGTAATAGGTTAACTTATTCATGGGCATTAGTTGAACATCTAATTTTAGGTAATGAGCTTTGTACTTCAGATACGGTGGTAATAATCCACAGGTCCTGCCTCATAGACTTATAGAATAGCGGGGTGAGGAAGGGAAGAAGAAGTATGCATACAAGTAACTTTAGATGTAGGCCATAAAGAAGAGAGAAAAAGAACCTAAAGAATCTGTTAAAGAAAGTGAAGCATCAGACCAAGCTAGATTGAGTAGCCTTGATTTTACCAAAGAAAATAGCTCAGAAGAGAATCCTTTGTGAAGTACCAATCATCAAATGATGTTCTACATTTCCATGCAATATATTTCATGCTTATTTGTGGATTGGATTGAACAACCAAACTACTGCTCTACAGCTTAAATTTAAAAAATTGATATAATTAATAATAAATTATTGACTGTCACTCAGTTCCTTACAAAGGGATCTTTAATGTATTTTTTAATATGTCCTGTTAGACTAATTGCCAATTAATTATTTAAATCTTTCATACATGAGTTAAGAATCTTTCTTCATGCTTATACACTCTTCTCTCTTTCTTTCTCTTTCTCTCTCATGCCCACATATGCATTCTGCCAGGTGACCTCCATTTTTGAAATATGAAATAGATGCTAAACATCCTATTCTATCAAACCCAACATCTTTTGGTAAAAGCTTTCACTGAGAAAACAAAACAAACAATAACAAAGAACTGTTTCTAATAAGGCAAGAGATACCTTAGACTTTTTGGAACTTTCAAGTAGTTTTATATTCAAAGCAAGGTGAAAATAACATTAATATAAAATGGGAAGTTCATTTTGGCTTTCAGATGGGACCCTTTATGCCTGTCTATGATTACAGCTTAATTATGTTTGCCAGATACTTAAGTAGACCACATTTTCATTCATTCATTCACTTACTCATTATTACATTCACCAATAATGTGCTGTTCAAAGTAACTAATCATGCTTTAATAGTCTCTACTGTACATATAGAATTCTTTCCAGTTGAGTTTATTTCAGAAATATGGAATTGTCAAGTTAAAAATAGTTTATACTTTTCAGAGTTTATACTTCATAAAATATCAATTTAAAAATTTAATTTCTTCTATTTAATAAATTTATATATCTTTTATACACTAAAATATACATATACATAGACACACACACATACTTATGAAGCAAGGTTCTAGGTGCCTTCAAGTATTAACTCACTTTTCAAGTAAAATGCCTAGTTTACTGTAATTATATTCAATGTTATAATATAATAGAAATAATAATGACAGAATATTGAGTGTGCTAGGCTGTTTGCTATACATTATCCTCAATTCTTAAAACTACCTTATAAAGTAGGTGCTGTTATCCTCTTTGAAGAGGCAGACACTAAGGATCAGTGTTAGTAAGCCACACTGACATGGTTTATGAGTAGGGAACCCAAAGTTAGAAATCAGGTCTCCCTGATTCTAAAGTTCATGCTATTTCCATTAAACTTCCCTCTAAGTAACAATGTTACTACATTTAGAATCAAAACTGCAAAAGCTTATTATTTACCTTTTCTCTTTTTGATCCTATTTTGCAAATGAGTAGCAGAGTTAACAAGGACAGCCAGTGGAAGATCTAGTGATAGGACTTACATTTTGTTCCTTCATCTGGGTTCCTATACATGTGCTACACAAATTTAGTGTACATCCTTCAAACCATTTACTGAGTACTCCATACACTAGGCACAGGGATAAGTAGCATATGGGTAACTATGCCTTTGGTAAGTTCACAGTCTAGAATAGGAGGATGAAATGTAAACAGACAACTTCTAAATAATGTGAGAAATTTTATTATAGGAAAACATACAGGAAGTGATACCTAACCTATACAAGAATGGCAGGGAAAACTTCAGTGAAATATAATATAATACTTAAACCTTAAAATACGAGTAGAAATACACTGTAAAAAGATGGGTAGGCAAGGGAGAAGAAAAGTCAAGTGCAAACATGTGGAGAAGCTTAGCAGTTTGGTATATATGGAGAAACACTGTTTAGAATTTTTTAATTGTAATAATGGAAGTGTAAAATAAGAGAAGGTAAATAAAGGGAATACAAATGGAGAGGTACTTAAAAGGTGGTGAATTTAACTGTAGGTTGTGAGATACCACTGTGGATCTTCATGCTAGGTAAAAACATGGTCAGAGTTAACATTTAAATAAAATACTATGGACTTGAGGGAAAAAAACTAGAATTAGACAAATACAACTGCAATAATGCATGTGAGAGAGATGATGAGAAATGCCTTAGGGTAGTGACAATATGGATGAAAAGTATAGTTTCAAAACTCTTTAGGGGCGAAATGAATAGGACTTATTAGATGATGAGGATAAGAGAGAGAAGTGTAGAATGCTATGCCAGTTACTGTTTTGGGTGGTGCAATTAACTAAGAAAATACAGGAAATACATTTGTGGGGAGAAATACATATCTTTATTTTGTAATATTGGGTTTGAGATGCTGGTGGGACATCCAAGTGGATATATTCCATAGATACATGGGTATAAGAATCTTCAGGGGAGAGGACTGTTGTATACTGGGGAGCCATCAGCATACAGGTGGTTGCAAATACAATGAGAATGGTTAAAGTTCTCAGAGAGAACAGGTAGACTATATAGTCAATGGAGAGAAGGGGCTTATAGACTTGGTCATTCTACCTGTTCAAAAATTTTATAACACTGTTAATTCCCCCAGAATATATACTAGGTGCCTAATATATACTAGAGTTCAAAATTCTTCAATCTGATAATTTTCCTATAAACTCTAGGTTTCTAGATTTGTGCTTGATACAGCTTTGACATTTTGGTTTATAGGCCAGAAGTTTGGCATGAAAAACTATCAGAATAGTTTTAATAAATTTCAGAATGGCTTATTCTGAAATAAAAATAAGGTCTAGTTGTCTTTCCTAAAGATATTTTTGTTGTTGTTCTTTTTGTATCTTCTTTATCCAGGAAGCTCTAATTCCTCTTTACTCAGCTCTATAAGAGTCCATGTTCATCTGATAAATCTAAAAGATGTAGGGGTAAGAATCACTCAGGATTGGATAGTAAATGTAATTTCTTTATAATGATTGGATCAAAAACTTTATTATTTCACTTCATTTCCTCTTCTGTACCAATATCTACTGAATGTTGGATTACTGAAATTTCTGTGTTGACTCTCCAATTCAGAATGAGTTGAAACACTAGGATGAAATGAAGAAATTGAAGAATAAATGTGTATATTAGGTGAAATAGTTGGTATTGTGGGAATGATGCCTGAAGGTCGAAGGAAAGGAGAATGTTTGATATTGGAAATAAAGATGCCTTATGTGAGGGTGAGCAAGGTAATAAGTTTGAGTAAGTGGCCAGGAGTAGAATGGGTAAAATGCATTAGAAATGGGGAAAAAAGAAGCTATGGTAATGGTTTGTCCTTTATATAGACACTAAAGTCATTCAGAATGATGGCAGAGCTTAGAGTGGACAGAAATTCTTTACCCAGAAGTTGCCAGTAAATAGTAGTTATAAACAAAGTTAAAAGG